GTATTTTGGTTGATACTGGACTGGCGGAGGATTTCTGCGAGGAACTGTGCGGGACGACGCGGGCGAGCTTAGAAATTCCAGCCAGATTCGATAATATATAATATTTTAAACGATGTCCGAAATAATATGTTCAGTCAGAGATTGCCGAGTAGTCGGGCACGGCACGGCACGGCAGGGCAGGGCAGGGGAATGTCGATTCGTTGGATGGAAACGGCCTTGATAAAACGTCCCATCCAAACGTCGCCTATGCATACTACGGACGCGAACAGTCCCCTGATGGCTATCACGGAAGTGAATCGTTTAATGTACATACGAGCCGGTTGTTAGCCGGTCCCGTCGAACAATAGTTTACCATCACCGATGGACAACTATTCTTCTCTCTCCCTCCAGCGGAGATTCTTCGCCACCGATTCCGTAAAATCGCTACATCATCACACCATCACACGCCAATATACTTTTCACGCTACCGCGAGAGCGAGAAACCCGCCATAATTTCGACACGTATAATTTCACTCGAGTATCCAATTCCACTCGTTCCATTCCACGTAATTGATCGTAATAACTTATCTATTTTAATTATTATTAGTTTGTGCACAATTCGACACGCGCGAAAGAGGAAAGCTCTTGTAATTATTCGCATAGTTGTAACAACTTTCTGTACAAGTTAAACGTTACATACGCGCGTATTTGTGTGTAGGAAACATTTTGAAATTTTATTCTATTGACAATACAGCGTGCAAATGTACACTTCGATAGGAATACGTATATACGCATGATGCATATCTCTCAGACAGTGTGTCAAAATTATTTAAAGTACAGTCGTTATAACGAAGGCTTAGCTCGGAAGCCTTCATTAATTTTCTATTAAATAAATAAACAAGTAAATCGTAACCTGTACATGTTACTGTATCAGATCAGTTGCAATCTTTACCGATATAATCATATCACGTCGTCTCATTATTATCACGTCACAATAAAACGTCGAGATACGAAATGAGATTCAAAATCAATTTGAATACTATAAAACGACAAGACGGGCTTAATGCTCTATTATAATTAGCAATCGCATTTCGTGATTAAAAACTCCACTAGACTGCGGATTTTTATAGCATCGGAGCAAAGTTCAAGACACATAAAGAAAGAGAATCTAAAGAGAAATTTGTTTTATTTACTATATATATATATAAAACTTAACTTAAAAAAATCAAATTCGACACTTGGCCTCGTACACATCTCTCTGCCTCGTACTACTAATAATATTCCGATGTGTATAGAAGCTATTCCTTTGTAAGAATATCTAAACGAATCCGGCTCGATGCTTCTCAACAACGTTGAGTTCTTGAATAAAAAGAAACGACCGCAGCAGCACTCGTCGAGGAACCCTTTTGACTGAGAAGCCTGATATGCATAACACATAAAACGATACGAAACACGGACCAAGTGAATTTCAACAATTTTACGTCACGTTCTTCTCTGCACGTACGTAAGCCTGCACAAACGAGAAACGTTCGGTTGAAAGAACACGGTTGATAGAAGAATGGGCGCGTGTGCCTTTGATCGGAGATTACCAACACGAATTGGCGAATTCAAGAATATTCCTTCTCGCTCTTCCTCCGTCTTCCTCCCGTACGCATGCATCGTGCTGATCCGGATGACGAGGATGACGATGCTGAAAGACACCCACTACTACTCGCTCGCGCAAAATCGTATTCAAAGGCAGAATAGCTTTAGTCGCGTACCTAACAAATAAATTCGTTTCGTTCTCCGCTAACCTAATCGCGCGGCCAGTTCACCGTCTGTCATCAAGGTCACCGCGTCTACGTGCCTTTCACAGTGCCTGCATTATCGCTATCTCGGCGGTGCAGTGGCGCGTCGATTCGACGATTCGACGATTCGACCGATTCCTCCCGTTAACGTATTACGTCGGAATTACGTATTACGTGAAGACGATCGAGACGTGATCTTTCTTTCCTTTTGCCTCGAAGCGAGAGTGCGAGAAAGAGAAAGAGAAAGAGAAGAAGGAGAAGGAGAGAATCGCGTCATTTGCTTCGGAAAATTCCTGCGTGGAAGCTGCGCGTTCGAAGCAATGCCACGCAGCAACTGGTTGCTCGGCTGACTCGATCGAAGGAGAGGAAACTTTGGATCTGCTCGCGAGCAGACACGGGATCGTCCAGCCGGTTTATCAAGCTACGCGAGAAAAACGCTCGCGCATTGTTCGACGGTGAAAGGAAAGCGGCGAGAGAGAAGTAACTGCGCCAAGGTGCGGCGGCCACAGGTAACCACGATATCGTATAAATAAATTCATCTCCCCGCTTTTTCATTCACGTACTCTCGCGCGAAAATATTCCAACAACTATCGATCGTAGCAGCAGAGCTACTTTTTACATTTTTACGACAGAGCGTACGACATTGATTGCAAACGCATGAACCGAGTAAGAAATTATTTCGCAGAGAGATTGAATCTCATTTCAGCTCGTCCGACAAACATGTACTCTCAGATCTGCTTCATCAAAAGCTTGATTCATATAATCGTCGAGTATCGCAGCTGCAGCGTTAATATTAATTACATTGACAGTTACGCGTCAATCTCTCTGTCAGATCAGAAGGTGCAACAAGATGCAACGAAACGATATTTCTTTCATTTTAACCAAATGAACAGAAATACAGATAAAAATCAATAGACATCTCGAGAGACATCTACGAGAACAAACGCAGACTCCCATGTACATAGATTAGATATCGAGGATATTTCTCGATTATTATGTAAGCGTGATTATTATGTAAGTGCGTTTTTTCTTTTCTTTTTTTTTCTTTTTTTTTTTT